AGCGAAAGAAGGGAAATCTGAAATGTTTCAGAGAAGCCGAAGCAGGTGAAAAGAATCAGGCAGGGATCGGTGATTCCCACTTTGGGCATGGGAACTGATGCTGTTCAGCTGCTTGTGAGCCAGGTGCTGGGATCAGAGCTCGGACATTGCTGCTGCGTGGCAGCTCTGCAGTTCTTGAATTGCACCTTGAATTCTCCTCGTTATTAATTCCCTTTTTCTTTCTTCTTTTTTTCCCTTCAGCATGAAAGACTTTCCAGGTAAGAATTTTATTTTTATTTTTTGGAGGTTTTTCTGTTTATTTTCAGCATATTTTTGTACGGCTTTGGGGATTCCCTGTGCTTCAAATGAACAGCATAAGCTGAAGCTGGTACTGGCCATTTGGTCCTTACCTTAGCTCAGCTCTTGGGCCAGTTTGCGTTCATCCTTTGCTCCCCAAATTATTTAGCAGCTGCTCTGCAGAGAAAAAGCCCTCTGTGCCCCGTTAGAAATGGAGCCCATTCCCACCCAAAGGTGAGAGGTCCAGGAGAAATTGCATGGCCAGGGACGGGCAGTGGAGCTGGGGAGGGGTCTGGAGCCCCAGGCTGCTGGGGAGCGGCTGGGGGAGCTGGGGGGGTTCAGCCTGGAGCAGAGGGGGCTGAGGGGAGCCCTCATCGCTCCCTACAACTGCCTGAGAGGAGGGGGGAGCCGGGGGGGTCGGGCTCTGCTCCCAGGGAAGGGGCGATGGGACGAGGGGCACCGGCCTCAAGTTGTGCCAGGGCAGGGTGAGGTTGGGCATGGGGAACAATTCCTTCCCCTTGGGGCTGTCAGGGGTGGGATGGCAGGGGTAGGGGAACGGTTGGACTCGATCTTAAGGGTCTGTTCCAACCTCAACGATTCTGTGACGCTGTGATTCTAAATTACCGCCCATTTGGGGTTTGGGCTGATACCCACTGGATTTTTTCCAGTTTTTGAAATGGTGCTGGCTGCCCGCCTTCAGCAGCGGTGCCGCTGTGGGGCAGGGGGTGCTCTCAGCCACCCCAGCACCCACACTCAGCTGGCTGGTCCCAGCCGGTGGGGCTCATACTGGCTGTCCCAAAGTTACAGCGGCTCCCTGGTGCTCGATCTTCATCGCATTTTAGGTTGGAAGCAGCTACGAACCCTAGCGCCAGTGACTCCTACAGCGATCGCGCCTCCAGCCGCTCCAGTGCCTACACCCGGAGAGAGAACCGGTTGGCCGCCCTCAGCAGCAGAGCAGAAGAGGAGAGTAACAGGGACTATAAAAAGGTAGGATTTTTAAGGTGTTTTATTGTCACTGCATGCACCTTAGAAGCTGCCCATGGCTGCAGAAACCTGCCCCGAGAGTCTTTGGAAAGAAAAAGTTTCATTTTCATTTCCTGTTTCCGTTGCTTTCGGAGGTCACCCTGGCCTTGTTCAAAGGCGTCGGCCCTTCAGGGGGTCGAAAAAGGAGCAGGGGCGGAAGGACACGGAGTCAGATACCCAGGGGAGGGGGACTGAGGGGTCAGGCTGGAGAAATTCTGGGAGGGATTTGAAAGGAGCAAGAAAAGCTTGTGTGGAGCCTGCCCGCGTGGCCCAAGCACGCCGACCCCCACCGAATTATTTTTGCTGCTATAACATTCCAGAATTATTTTTTCTATAATCTCTGCACCTTTCAACGTAATCCTTGAAAGGCAGAAACGCAGGCTGCCCCGCACGCCAGCTGTCAGTGCAAGGACCATGTGCAAAGTAAAGAGATGAAGATGCCCTTAATTCTGAAGACGGGGCTGCAAAGCCGTGCCTGGCAGGCAGCGCCCGCTCTTCTTCACGAACGCGTCTGGCCGGAGGAGGCAGGCAGAATGCCCAGTTTGTCCCCGTAAAGGGATGGAAATTCTGCTTGTTTGAAGGAAGAGAAAGGAAAAAAAATCCTTTTTGGAGTGGCCTCAGATTGTCCTCCTTTCTCCTCCTCTTCAGACCGACAGCACGCAGGCGCAGCTCGGGTGCGCTGTGTTGGGGAGCGCAGCAGAATCCTAGCTTCAGATACATCCAGCGCACGCAGCTTATGCTTTATTATGCCTGGTGGTTTGCCTAAATTAAAAACATCCCTTTTCTTTGCCCCTTGGCTCTGTTTAAACGCCCTACAACATTAAACAGCTGTTTTCTTACTTCCTATGAGTTACGAAAGCACAAGTAAAGCATCCAAACTAGGCCTGTCTGCCCTTCTGCCATCCTGACTTGGGGGAGCGATGCCCGGTGCCGAGGACGCGCGGGCGCGGCAGATCCGGGTCCGTGCGGCGGCCGAGGAGCAGCCGGGTTCATTTGTTTCCTATTCCAGTTATACGAAAGCGCCCTGTCTGAAAATCAAAAGTTGAAGACAAAACTGCAAGAAGCCCAGCTGGAGTTGGCCGACATCAAATCAAAGTTGGAAAAAGCAACCCAGGTAAGGCAAAAACCAGCTCCTGGACTGGAGAAGCTGCGGCCCGTGACAGGCCAGTGCATGTTCCAGCACGGGAGAGGATTTAGCGGCATGGGAGAGGATTCAGCTCTCGGGAGGGAGGGGGCTGTGGAGGAGACTGTTCCTTTTCACACAAATAAGTGTGAGTGATTCTGTAAAGACGCTGCCTCTCCGGGCAAGTGCCTCTGTCGGCTGTCGAGGCCTTTGTGCAGCATCCTGTGAATTCCTCTCGGTTTTAATAGCTTTCTATTTTTAATTTCTATAGCAGAAACAAGAGAAAACTTCTGACCGGTCCAGCATGCTGGAGATGGAGAAAAGGGTAAGTGTCTCTGCTTTCTTCTGAGTCGGAGTCTGTGCCTCGCGTTGCTCTGCAGGGCACAGTAATTCCTTGCAGGAAAGTGTTAATTAAAAGATCAGTTATCCTTTTGCCTGGCGGAGCGGTGCACAGTGATGATTGTGCGCTGACCTTTTGGGCGTCTGCGACTTTGCTGCTCTCTTTGCAGATCAGCTTAGTTCTGATTTCTTTCCGTTGTTATAGCAAGCTGCAGACCAGCGAGTCGTACTGTGTTGTGCTAAGAGTCCGTGGGTCCGTCATGCTTTAAAATATTCTTGATCCTTATACAGACTGGTTGGGGGGGGGGGACACACAAAGCAAACCACCAGCTGGGTGTCTGTCTTGGGAACATACTTGAAATTGGAATGTTTGAATGCTCCTTCCTCCTAATTGAAAGGTCAGGTTTGTCGCAGTAAGCTGAGCTGAATGGGCAGCGCCTGGCTAAAACTCTGCCTTAAGTGGCCGGAGCTTCAGTCGGTTTGGAAGGGACCTGAGCTGGTCTGGTGCAGCCAGCGTCAGCCGGGTTAGTCAGGGCTTCGTCCCACTGTTCCATGAAGACCGCGGAGTGCTGAGTTTCCATGGCTGGAGCCCCTTCTTCCAGTTCTTTTCTGTCCTCATAGTCATTTTTTTTCCCCTTATATTGATTTTTTTTTTTTTTTTATTCTTTGTGTATATTTATTATATCTAGTCAGAACCTCCCCTGATGGCCATTACCGCTCATTCTCCTGCGTACTCAGTGGTTAATTAAAGTGGAGCCCGGCTCCAGTCTCTCGGTGAGCTCCACCTCCACGCTGGAGGGCTGCCTGAAGTGGAGTTTTCCTCCTGAAGTGTTTCATCTCCTGAGTTTTTAGGAGCTTTGCTGGATGGTTGAACCGTGTGCTGAAATTCAATTCCTACCATGAAAGACCTTAATTATTTAGGTGTAAACACTTCCCGGGATTTCCCAGGCAGAGCCCAGAGGAGGTGGCGTTCAGGATCCC